CCATGGACATCTTTTGCTCTTTTTTTCCCTTGCATGTACTTTTGCTTATTTTCTTTTCCGTTTCTAGATATAAATCCATCTTTCTTTAGCTTTTGAGGCCGACCTAAACTATTGGGTAAGGAACCCATCAAGAAGGCATGATTATACTTAAAAGTCCAAGGGATATTGAGATCATAGATGTTTCTGTCTATTTTTTTGGCAATTTTACTTAAAGGGCACGTTTATTTCAAACCAAACTGTCCAAATAACCGTCAAGATTTTAGTTTATTTTCTTAAGCCCTTGTTTGATCCCCATTCTTTGGAGAAAATGAATTCTTCTATAGTGTTTTGATATAATTTTAACTACACATTTTTCAATAAAATAATATTACACGCAAATTCAAAACTTTTCTTTATTTTTTAAGCATACATTTCACATCAATACACTATTCAAAAATTCATTTTTCCCCTTAAAATGGGGCTCAAACAAGGACTAATTCTTATGCATGCGTCTTGTCAAGCATGACAAACATGTCGCAAATGTACGTCAGCAATTTTGTCTAAGAATTGTACAAGTGAGACTCACTATACACAGTATCGGGATGTTGATATGAACAGTCTAAAGTGTGACCCTGTCTGCCTTCTCCATACATTGATAACCAAGTGAGCGCATCAATGAGATTGCAGAGAAAGTGCCCCACTCTTTTTAAAAGCAACAGAAAATATTGACAGCCTCTTTGTGATATTGTTAATTACTGGTTCTATCATGTGAGTACTTGCACTTTGATTAAGGAAACGAGGTTTTGCAGTGAGTGTGAGAGAGAAAAAGAAGAAAAATATGTGCAGTGAGGTGGGATTCTAGAAAACTTATTCACTTATGGGCAATGATTTCTTGTGCTTGATTAGGATTTTGTTGTTTTGAATTATTGTGTACGAATATATCGAGTAATGAACTCAACAAAATTGCATCTCAAACCTGCCACGACTGTGTAAAGGGTAACAATATTAATAGTTTGGAAGTTGCAGCAGATTAAATTTGGTATTTGGAGGAGTAAAACTCAACAGATTAAATCTAGAAGTTTTAGAAAAAAATTAGTCCAAAGGACTGCCTCAATCATATGAATAGAAGAGTCCAACTCAGTGCTGCAGACCCAAATTTTACACAACTTTAATAAGGCCCAGCCCAGATCCCCTTCAAATAGAGAACATATTACCAACCAAAAAATTCGATCGATTATTGACGACTTATTTTAGATGATTCTGACATAAATTAATATTTATAGGTGATCTCGGAAGGCCAACGACGCATTTTGTTTTTGATTGCCAATCACATTGACAATGCGTTGTTGATCACCAGTGAAAGTTATTATTTTTTTAAAATTTTTAATAAGTTACAGTCAAAGATATCATTGGCGATCATCAAACGCATCTTTGTAAGTAATTACTGACAATATATTATAGATGATGTCATCAACAATCATTGATGATCTTGGATAGGTGATAATGGTGCGAAGAAAAGTAAGGTGGATTGATATAATACCAAAATAGGTTTTTAAATGTATATTATAGAAGCGTGGTTGTTTGCCACAGTTTTTCATATGTCGAGTGTTATTTAGATCGGTGGCGTAGAAGACAGAGAAGTAGTGAAGTATATTGTGGTAGATGGTCATCCTAAAGTGGTTGATGTGAGATTGGCAGCCAAGGACATGGTGTGTGTGCATTTATTTTTATGGACGGGACATGGTGTGTGTGCTCGTCATAAGGTCCTACGGTTCGAGTTGGAACAGATCATATTCTATCGTAATAGAAAATTTATTTTTAACTTCTTTTGCAATTGATAGAATTTTGATTCCTCTTCCTTTTTCTGTGGTTAAGAATTATTTATTTATTTTTTATTTTCTTTTGTTGGCTGGACTGTACTATTATGAATTGATAAGATTGTTTATCAATAAATCATTCAACATAAACTTCAAATTGGTATCAGAGTTTTGGTTAAAAAAATTAGGACCTGTAAAATTAGGGTTTCAAATTAAGCCCTAAAATTTTAAGCCCTAAAATTTTAAATCCTAAATTTAATTTTGACCAATATCTTTAAACCAAGGTTGAATCTTCTATCTTCTATCTCACTTAGGTGATCCCCTATTTTCTATCTCGCTTCGACAATCCTCTACTCCCTCTACACTATAGAGTTTCGAATTGAACCCTAAATTATAAACCTTAAATTTCAATTTGATCAAGAAACCTGACCTTAGCTGAACTCCAGGCTCTTGCGGACTTTATCATTTATCATATTTTTATTTTATGACTTAGTTTCGCAACAAAATTTATGTCTATAAATTTAGTTCACGAAAATGATCAGTGTGTTTAATTACTAGAGAAGGGAAAATTAGTCTCAAAATTCCAATGGAATAAACTATTTGAAAACAAATTATCTAATATTGGAGGACCTTACATAAATTGGAGCTTTAGGTGATCATCTATTTTATTTAAAAATTGACCCAACTTTTATTGCTTAGTCATAGCATGTCATACACTTCAATTGCATATAGAATTATAAAGCCGTGACAGAAAATACTCAATAAGCTCATAAAAATTGAGAGAATTCTTCGTCCAGTCACTAATGGAGCAACAGTCTTGAATCTTTCCACATTTCTCTCAAAAAAAATTTCTTTATTTTTTAAGTGACTTGCATATCCTTAATTTGTTCTAGAAATTCTCGAATTTACACTATTGGCTTGCAAATCCTTGAAATGTTTAAAACATTAAATCGACAACAAAATAATCTATCAGTCACATAACATTTAAACCTGCCCCTCATGAATCATGTCTATACCATGTACTTCATTTTGCATTTCCATCATATTTTTTAATATTAACTTTTAGAATCATACATAAATTTATCCCATTTTAAGCAGTAAAAGGCTAGTACGAGCTCTCCTATTCAAAAGTTTCATCGTTCGCTAAACTCTTCGACTTTGGCGGCTCCTTTGGGTTGGTTATGTGTGCCGTATACTATGCTTTAGTTGTGTTGATTAGGCAACTTTTTGTCATGCTTGGTCAAACTGGGATTACACTGAGACGATGTACAATATCTACGTACAACATTAAAGGACTCCCGGCAATATCTTAGCTTTCGTATTTGACCATACAAAATGTTTTGAATTAAAGAGTTTCATGCCTACTCATTTATTCTTGAAAAATAAATTTAACCTGCATTCGAGTAGACGTGCTAAAACAAACTTTATATAAATATAAACATATTCATTTCGTAACAAAATTAAAACTTTTAGATGAAAATATATGTCGTACGACAGTTACCGTAGATAACAAACATTATTAGAAGCAAGTAGGGTCCCAACTCCTGGGGTCAACAAATTTATATCTGACATGTGAATAGGGGTCGACAAGAGCATGGCTAATTAAATTCTTTGCCCCTTTTAGTAATCTATTTTGTAGATAATTTATGTACTATGACACGTGTCATGTCGCTGATGGAGTGAGAAAGGCATGTGACGCGGTCTTCAAAAAATAAGACTTTTCAAACACTCTCGTGGTTATGTCTCTAACAAGAGGAAAAAAACATTAATTGAGAGAGAAGTGTTGAGTGGAACTTGCAATCCCACAATTGTTTTTGATCAATACCATTAGTTTCCATCTACTATGGAGATCATGCCATTATATTAAGTAATGTGCAAATCATGTGATCACTTACTACTATCACACAACGATGTTTAGTAGGTAAGGAGGAATTGTTTGCCCTATCTTCTTTATCATGTGTATTTATATAAATATTTGTACGCAATTTTGCTTGCTAAAAAAGGTATGTTGTTTAAATGATATACCGGTACTCAATATGAACAAAGTTACTCGTGTAAGATATTTATGTTAAAACACATTTGTATATCTCGTCTTTTAATAATTGCAATATACACGCCAAGTTGAAAGAGAAGAAACAAGACCTATTAAATAGCAATAGAGTCTAACTAATTACGTTATCAATCTAGAACGTACACATGGACAGTGGTTCTTCATTTCAATATAAATTCTAAGTTGAAAATGGGTAAACAAGGCATAGTCAACAAACAATGAAGTCTAACTTTATTTGTCACGTCATCATCGAGACACATTGTAAAGGCAGTAAAAAAGTGGAACTTCGAGTCTTGAAGTCCCACTATAGCACGCACCATTGACCTGTTACTCTATAAGACAGTTGATGCAGAGGTAATGATATTCTATAAACATTATAAGTCATAAATATTTCAACTGTGACTTCAACTTCATTATTAATATTTAAGGGTGTCACCAATAGTACTCTTGATCCCTGTTAAGGTTGTAGATTGGAGACGTAATAAAGAAAGAAAATCTTGAAATTGACAGATTTCAACCACCAACCTAAGTCAAGATGAAATAATATATAATCAAGGGGATAACCCCCTCTTGATATTGAAATTATTCAATGTGAAGGGGATCATCCTACATTTGCAAACTGATTCAACACCTCAGGTATTAGTTCAGATTAGATAAAGTTGCAATAACTTTTGACACTTCATGGTTGGACCCGGTTTGAGTCTATTGTTTCCGATCATTTGATATTTTGAAATGTTTGACATCTATATCCGGGTATGCCCAGAATAGTTGTACCTATTTTTTGATCAATACAAATTTATTTACCAGATAAAAAGATAATGTATAATCAAACCCTTGTAACCAAGTAAATTTCTTGGAACATGCTCAAGTTCAAATTGCGTAGGATATAGGGTTATCAAGATGATCACATGGTCTTGTTTATTGAGACATACACATGAAGGCCCACATTTTTATTACAGAAGAACAATCAAATTACTTTTGAACCGATGTGAGATCAAGCCCACATTGGAAACACAAATTAAATAAAAAAAAAATATATAGATTTATGAGAACGAGACTTAACTTGTATTTATTTATTATTGTATGTATATGCATGACTTTCTCTTTTCCTCCAAAACTTTCTTGCTTATTAATAAGAAGCCCTACAACACTGCTTTCTTCAGTCTCTTGTCTTCCTCATATCCAACATATTGCTTTCCGTACTAGCGTTCTCTCTTTTTCCCTTCAATATCTCATTTCTCTGTGATCTCTTTCTTGTGGTCCATTCCTCTTTCTAACATCTTATAACAATCCATATTTCTGCTTTGCATTTCTTATTCTTCTGCGTCATAGTTTCTCAAGAAGAAAGAAGTCACTATACATCTTTGAGATATGTCGAGCAGAAGATCGAGGGAGTCCTCATCAAGTTCGAGGATTACTGATGATCAGATCATTGAACTTGTGTCCAAATTGCAGCAACTTTTGCCCGAGATTCGTAATAGGCGCTCCAACAAGGTATGCAGTATTACACCATACTGAACTTGACCGTGTCTACATTGTTAAAGAAAACAAATTAGAAAAAGCATTAAATTTCTGCATAATGTAACGTAAATTCATGCTTATATTATTCAAGTGCCATATATATATATATATATATATATATATATATATGGAAATGTTTATAAAGTCAAACTATATAAATATAAACTAACAATGCCAACTGTGAAGAGTTATGTAGCATGACCTTCACGTTAGGGAACGCATAAAAAATTAATTATTTTTGTTTTTTTTGTATGGTTTGGACTCTTGAATTCTAAATTCATTAACGTCACCTAGTCTCTCTCATCTCCATGCATGTATTATTATATACTTAAAGATTTTTTTGATTGATAAATATAAATTACGGATAAAAAAAAAATATATTTTTCAAATGAATGAAAATATTATTAACTCCCATACTAACCAATCGATAATGATCTTGCACATACCACAGGCACACAGTGTGAAATTTGTATTTTATGACAGTAGAAATGCTTCGTGACAGTGTTAAAATTTGAATACTGACCGAAATAAACTTTTGTTGAAGACTATACATTATAGCATTTTTAGTAAAGGGGGTATTACCTTTTATTCTAGCTGTCGTTGAATATTCTTTCTTGGGTCATGTATGACTATGAGAAAACAGATATAAGGTATACGCCTGAGAAAATTGCAGTATGGCTTCTTCGATTTCTCTGGATAGAGAGAAATATGACCAACAATGGTTCAAAAGTATATAAAAAAAATTTCTTCTTCACAGTTCTTAATATTAGATAGTGTCCATAAATCTTATAATGAGTATATAAAAATTCTTAAAAGAATTTCAATGGGACTTTTTCTTAAAGCAATAACATGTTGATCTAGTCGTTATTGGAGCCACAAAGGAATCTAAATTGATTTGTTTACGCTGATAAGCTCCAATTGCGTAATAAGAATTAGAAACAAAAGAGGTTCTTTTTTTGTGCACTTATAGTTATTATTCTTACTTCTTTGATTTTCATAGTTTCAGTGATTTCATGGATTATACACAAATACCTCGACGACTCCTGCTTTTTAATATGTAGAGTCCAACACGCAAACAAATTATATATATATATAGATATCTCTATAAATTAAGTAGAAGTAAATACATATAATGAAATTATTTTTGTTGAGCAGGCATCAGCAAACAAGGTACTTCAGGAAACATGCAACTACATTAGAAGTTTGCACAAAGAAGTGGATGATCTGAGTGAGAGGCTATCACAGTTACTTTCTACTGTAGATGCCGACAGTCCCGAGGCTGGGATAATTAGGAGTTTAATAATGTAATAATATATAAGCTTATTATTATTATTATTATTATTATTATTATTATTATTATTATTATTATTATTATTATTATTATTATTATTATTATTATTATTATGTACGAGGTGGCTGTAATTTATCAGGGTATTTATTAATCGTGTAACTTAAGGATTTAACTAAATAATTCTAATTCTCCTAGGTTTGGCCCCTACCTATCTAGGCCAATCAGGCATTAGAACCAAAATATTAGATTTAAGTGTCTGTGGAAATAAACTTATGTTGTAATTGAGTTGCATTAGTAATTAATTAAAGATATTGTTATGTATTTCCGTTTACGTGTAAGTAGATGACACAATTTTTAATGAATGAGTGATGATATTTGAATGGATGATCTTAACGAATCACCTCGTTTAAAAAGCAAAAGATTATGCTCTCGGATAAGGGATACATTTATTTAGTTTAATGTTGCCTTAATTAGCACCTCTTAATGTGTATAATGAATTCCCTCCCCAAAGAATCCTTTGACTCGTAGGGGGTTTACTCTAGAGTCGATAAACTCAAAAAGCGGCGTAGTTGTCTTTTATTTTATAGAGGTCGGGTTTACCCTTAACCAGTATCTCACCCATCAAATATATTGAGAATATACATATAATAATGCATAGAAGTGAATAAAGAAAGGCTTATCCAACTTAATGATGTTGGCATTTCCGCATCCTGCACATGCATCATTGCACTTTTCAAGCCCTTAATATTGATATCTGGATCCCAAATTGACTGATTCTCATGACTTTGTCACTTTAATGATTCAACACGTGCATATTCTTTATAAATAAGTGGTGGTAAAACCAAATATATACTTAAGTCATTAGACAAAATATAATTTTATTTATTTAAACTGTTTAAATTGGATGTAAATGTACCGTAAGATGTTAAGATAACAAGTAAGCATGTCGAATAGCAATACTTATGGTTGCATTGCTAAATTTATTAAGCTTCCAATGCAATGGGAAGTTGAGCAAGTGCATATAAATAAATAATTTTTTCGTTTATTAATTAACTTAAAATTATAGATAAGATGATAAAGTTAGTATTATAGACAAAAATATATAGTTCAAGTATCTCAACACTTTGTTGTGAAAACTTAATATATCAGACTTTCAGTGACAATCCATACATGATTTCTAAAGTAAAGTAAGTTGGTGTTAGTTGATTTCGGAACGAAGAAGTTAGAAGTCATAACATATCGCAGATGAGACCTCTATATATATATATATATATATATATATATAATATTTCGAATTGTGAATAATAAACCTGATTTACTTTGTTAACCGACATAACCTCAATTACTTATTACTTTAAGTTAAATATTTTCTTATATTGCATTATATTCAACATGTTTTTATTGAAATGAATTGATATATAATTCCAAAAGCTTAACTTATTTGGCGGATTAGCTAAATTCCTTATGACTCAATTTGTTACTTTATGTCTAAATGATATAAAACTTTCATTTAGTTGCAATTGAGGATTCATTGTGCGTCTATATGGCTTAATTTTGGACCTAACTCTGATACTACTTTATACTTTAGAAATTTAAAGTTTCTTCACAAAAAGTTAAGATATTAGGTGAAGTATCTCAATCTTTTATAAGCTCATAATTTAATTCATATCTAATTAATGTCGAACTTTGTTCGCCCTCTCTTCGACATTCGATCCGGATCATGGTCCACTCGATCCAGTTCGAGGTTAATTTGTCCGACTTATAGCGAGCTTTGACTAAGTTGATCGACTATAAGGAAAGAAAAAAGTTATTTAGTTAAACAGTCTTTCAAGAAAATGCCACGACATGATTTCCTTGATTAAAGCAAAAAATGTTAAATCTTTGATTAAACATCTTAATTAATTGTGGTTTGCTAGACAAGTCGGCACCCCGTCTAGGAGAGAAAACGACATCGCTTTCTAGCTTAATCTTATGTCTAATCAAAAATAGTATCTTAATTAATTGTCATAAAGAAGAGACTGTCGCTATAACATATTATTTGATTATTAATTACTGATTAGGACCATTGAGATTTGCCACTAGAAAATATTATTGTCGCCCAAGGAGACGACAGCAAATCCATTGATAACATGTCATGTTAGCATTTTAATTGAAAATGAGTTTCGATTAAAAGAAATTTGTATTATTGTAGGACAAAAATGATGTCTCGCCAGTTGGGAAAATTTAACTATTTTAGCATGGCATTTGGTTGATGTTAGGTAAGTTGAATTGAATAGAATTAAACTCATGAAGTACTGTCCTAATGCTCATGATCTTATTCATTAATTCACTCCATATTTGAAATTTTTTGCAACTTTTTTTCTAATGGGTGCGTATAACATTTAACGTGACCAAATCATATAATGTGATTTTTCCACAAATTATCCTCCACCGGCATGACTCTAATTAACGAATTTCAGAAAATTTTGTAAATCCAAATTACAAAAAATAAAATAAAATGGATTTAATGACGACTATGTTTCTATTCTAAGAATTAAAAAAACAAAGTAAAATCAAAGTTAAGATTTGCATTTGAGTTTTGTGGATTTTTTTTTTCTAAGCATATATCTTACCAAGGGATAATATGAGATGAGTGAACGCTCAATAAGCAAAACTCTATGCACATGATGCATGTTGATGATATACATATGCATTACTTTAAAATGAAAGTCATTTCTCAATAAATATCATCATTCTTTCATTTCTTTAAAAATATTAATGTTGAGTCACTTGTTGTATCGCCTATAGCCAATCAGAATGCACTGGGCCTTGTTATTTGGAACCCAATCGAATTCTACTTGTAGAGTTGTAGTACCGCAAAGCGGTTAACATTAACATTGAATATTCATTATTCATCATTTATCATTGAACATTAGTTGAGTACTCCGATCCCCCACACCCCATTTCTCACTCACACCTTTATGGCATAAACATGCATCTCGTAACTAAAACATTTGAGATACATATCTTTAAACATTCATTAAGTCATGACATTTAAAAACATTTTATTCGTTGAAACTTCATGTATACTTATGAATGCATTGACGTGCATGAGTATGCATGAAATATTCGTGACATAAAACGTAATAATTAAATATCATGTTCACATAATAACAAATTTAAGTAACACATTCATACACTTATATAATGTTTGAGCGACATTAATTTGAAAGAATGTATTTTAGAATAGTAGATTGATGGAAAATATGTGGTTAAAAAATGTAAAAAAGTTTTGAATTTCCACATAATATTATTTTATTAAAAATATATGGTTGAAATAATGTCAAATCATTGCTGAAGAATATATATATATATATATACAGGGTCTCAATAATATCACGTGTCATGAAGACAATGGAAGATTAACTTACTTAGAACCCTTAACAATTTTGGGAAAAATTCATATATAAGAGATTAAATATGGTACGTTTCAAAACTAAGAAACAAAGTTTAAAATTTCAAAAATCAAATTTTTTTTTAAATTTTATTTATAAACTAATTAATTAAACATATATTTTATTAATTAAATATATTAAGATCACGGTTTTATACAATTTGATCACAAATGATAAATTAATTGGTCACAAATTATTTCTAGATCACAATAAAAAAAATTTATAGGTCACAAATTGTTTCACGATCATAAATAAAAAAATTATATGTCAAAATTTATTCATGATTACAAATTTATCAAATTAATAGGTCATGTATTATTCATTGATCACAAATCACAAACTTTATAAGTCACAACTTATATTATGATAAAAAATATTTAATTACTTATTCACAAATTAATTTTCGATCACAAATAAAAAAATTTATAGGTCACAAATTATTTTTTGATCACAAATATCAAATTAATCGTCCATAAATTATTTTGCAATCCCAAATTATCGAATTAATTGATTAAAACTTACCAAATTTTGAGTCACAATTAAACATTCTTTTTAGGTCATATACTATTATTAGTCACAACAACACCCAAATAATTGATTTCAAAATTTTCTTCCCTTTTCCACCGCCACCACCCAATCGTTATCGTCGTTGTCGCCGTCACCACTACCAACAACATAATGACAGAGACACCACCACCATCACCACAACGTTGCCACCACCACCACCAAAACGCCAACACTCAAAGTGCACCACCTACACTGCTACAAACCTGACTACACCCAAATAATTGAGTACAAAAATCTCATCTTCCCTCCACTGCCACCATGCCACCACCTAGCTATTACCATCGTCGCCACCACCAATGCTATAACAACACAGACAACACCACCATAACGCCAACACCCAAACTACAACGCCTACTCTGGTACGAACCTCCAACATCCCCAACATTGTCGCGACCACCAACATCGCCTCTGCACCACCAAGGCCATCAGCAGTACAGCCACCACCCAATTTTAAATTACAAGCAGGGGCTTGTAATTTGAAAATTTTCATTATAGGCCCTTGTCCCCATATTCATACCCAATGCCTAAATTTTTTTCCTTTTCTCTATGGTCCCTGGTACCGTCGCCACTCTCTTGTCGCCAAACAATGTTACTATGAAGCATCATCACAAGCTACCTTTTCCCAGCACCTACAGTGTCAAATCTATCGTTCACATAGTCAGAAGCCACGATTCAAGGTGTTGTTGTCAACATTAGCGCCAACTGCTACAAAGTAGTGTTGCAACGTACAGAGTCGCTTTAGTGAGGTAGCATCGCGGTGCTATTCAGCTAGCACCGTCACATAGCAAGTGTATCATCGCCATTGTGTAGAGACCATGTGACGCAGCCACGCGCAAAGGTATGAGCATCGCTGTGAGTACTACTCGATCGAAATCTTTTGGTGGCAATCTTTCGATGACGATAAGAGTAGAGAGAGAAGGGAGAGAGGTCTTCTAACTGATTGCCCGTCGTGTGAGAGAGGGGAGACGAAGAGACGAAAAGAAAATATTAGTGATTGGGTTAAATTTGGTAGGTTGGATGGAATTGGGGTAGGGTAAAATATTTTATAATATTAATATTAATAATTGAATTATTATCTGATTTACGAATAAGTAAACCGTTTATCTCATTTTTGAATTACAATTTTTAAAAATCTGCCTTGGTGTAATTTCTTCTCTTGCTAATTACTTGAATTGTTACATGGGCTTGGTATAGCCCATGACGAAATTAAAAGCCCAATCTACTAATATAATGTATTGTAGGTCAAAATTGGTGGAGATATACATACAAAGGAAAAAAAACGTGGCTGCACGATTGAAAAATTGCAAAACAGTTGCTGCTGGACAGAGACAAAAAACATGGCTATCGGAAGGGAAAAAGGATTTTTTTTTTTTTTTTTCAATCTTTAGATGTAGATTTACACAGTCTTCTCCACATAGTACAAATTGAGAATTTCTCTAAGTGAATTTTTTTGGATACTTTAGTTGGGTGAGGTATTCAAAATGGTTTTTTCACAAGTTTCATCAAACTAGAGGTTTGGGAGTGAGATTATTGTTCTCTTAGAGTTTGATCATGGTTGTATTTTCTTAATTTGTTGAGAACTCAAGTTTTGAGTATAAACTTGAGTATTGTAAACTATTTTATTATAGTGGATTTGATTGGAGTTGTCTTATGATTTTTTTCCCTCTACAATGGAGGTTTTTTTACGTAAATTTGTGTGTTCTTTTTTTATTGCTCTCTTGGTATTTAATTAGTTGCTTGTTTTGATTGTAAATTTACTCTTGCTTGAATAACTTTCGAAGTATAGAATTGTAATTAGATAACGAGTGTCGTCTTTTAAACTGTGAAGAAAAAAATTACTTGATGTTTATTTGTAAAATTACGTGCAGAATATTTTGTTTGCTATTAGCATGAGCTGTTAGTCAAAAATTTAATAAACTTGTAATTTTCCGATAATTTTGGATTGAGAATTGTTATGAGGTGTAATAAATTTGAACTTTAAAATTTTTTTTACAAACTTTCGAAGTGATCGACTTCTGTAGATTGAGACCGTGTTTGGCATCTCTTAAAAGTTGATTAAAATCAAAATCAACAATAAATTTTAATTACATATTTCATTGGATCCACAATTTTTGTTAACACTTCAACAACAAATTTAATTAACTTTTACCAAAATCTACTAAAAATCTTATTTTTAGCTACATCAAAATATGGCTTGATGAACTTTTACGAAATCATCGAAAGTCTTTCATAGACTTCTATATACTATCATTTAAAGACTTTATAGATTTTTCTAGATTCAATTTGACTTTTTTAGATTTTCTCGATTATACTACACATAATTATTTTATTGAATTATGTAGGTATGCGTTACATTGTCATAATATTCTCAATCGCTATTTGCATGACAAAATAATCCAGAACATAGAGTAAAAAAATCATATCTCTCATCTCAATATATATATTTTTTAAATCACCTCAATTAGAAAAAAAAAAACAATCAAATTAAAACACACACACACAACATAAAAAATATATAACATTGCAATACACTTTCATTAAAAAGAAAAAAAAAATCTCTAATGTTCAATTCTGACAATATGTCCAAAACATGTAGAAAATTAAAAAAAAAAATTAATTAAGCAACGAATATATAAAATTAAATTGCCAATTAATCTATTTTTATTAAGATTTTAATTAAAAAGCAATCATTTTCCATAGAAAATTGGAAGAAACGATGAAAAAGAAGAGAAAAACCTTGTAAGAATTTTTATTTTTATATTGTTGATTTTTTCATAGAAAAAGAGAATATGATAGAAAAATGAAAGAGGAAAAAAAGGAAATGAGAATAATACTAAGAACAAGTTGAAGATGAAAAATATTAACTTTTGGTAGCATGAGAGCTAGTAGAATGATAAGGAAAAGAGAAATATTGTAGCTTGAAAGGCATTTTTCCTTCCCCCCCACCCCCCCCCCCCCCCGCCCCCCCCC